CGACACCCGGGGCCAGTCGGTGGGAGTAGGCCCGCGCTCCTGGATTCTGGACCCCTAGTTGAGAGATGTTGGGAGAGATCAGATTTGTGTCCCCTAGTGGATCAACGACTGGGTCTCCAGGATCCGTAAGAAAGGAGTGACTTAGGGCCCCGAATTCCAGGAAGTCTGCCTAGTGGGGCGGTAGTGTGGACTTTTCTGTGGGATGTGGGGACTCGTGGAACCGGGACTAGGAGCCCAGAATACCGGAGTTATATAGTGAGAAGTGGACTGTACCCCCATATTCTGGGCGCGGAACTGGTGGAACTGGGATAGGACGGAACTCCTAGACCCTCTACTGGGGAGGTGAGGGCTGGGCACAGACTTAGGTTTCTCCACACATAAGGGACTGCCAGCTCTGGTTTCTGGGTACCCCTTCGGAGAGGGGCTAAGACCCCAGGCCCTGCAGGCCAGCAGGGGGGAGAAGGCCGAGGAGCTTCATTCTAGGTCCTCTATTGGGGTGAGGGTCGAGCTTCCTATATTGCAGGCAGAGGAGGGGCCTAGGATCCCAGAATCGTGTGCACTCCAGTGGAGAGTGATTAGGGCCTTGGGGAGAAGATGGAGGGAGCCGGTTCTCCTGTGTTCCCCAGAGAGCACGGGGGACTGGATCCTTGGAGGTTGAGAGGTTCGAGCTGAGAGACCCGAGGGAGCAAGAGGAAAGATGTGCTCCCTCTGGCATCTTGGGGTCTCCAGGGTCGGGCAGCAGGTCGTGGATTCCTGGACACACCTGCCACTGGTCCGACCTCCGGGCAGAACCAGGGCCCTCCCCCTCCCAGCCGCACACTCCCGCGCCACGTGAGTCCTCCCCTAACCTCCTCCGTGCTTCGCGCGCACGCGCGGTCACGCGCGAGGGGGCGGGGCTTGGGGAACGTGAGGGCGCCCGTGGCCGGCGGGTTGGGGAGGCCCGGTGGGGAGGAAGCAGGCGTCGGCACGTGACTAGGTCCTGAACTGGTGTCCTCAGCTGACCCTGCTTGCTGGTCCTTAAAGGCACAGGCCGCCTGCCCCTCTTGAACCAACTGCCTGGGATCGCAGAGCCCTTTCCGTTTCTCTTCCCTAACTCCTGAGAGCTAATAGTTCTTAAGAGGTTTTTAAGGTCTTTTCAGCGCATTGGATTCCTTTTTCCTGAACAGCTTGGAGTCTAGGTGTTGGTCAGGGATTCGGTAAGGATTCAGGCTAGTCTAGGGGGATGAAGCTAACACAGACTCTGAAGGCCTGAGATTTTAGAAGCAATAGCTCAGACTCAAGTGTAACTTAGGGCAAGTTAGGTAATGATTGGGCCAGTTTCCCCGTTTGTGAAAGGAGCTCGTTCCATGATTTCTAAGCATCTATGGCTTAGGGAACCTTCATATTTTATATTAGGGAGGTTGATCCCTGGCAAACTTTATGTTAGCCTTCATTGTGGTGGATATGATACCTGAGTAGGGGATAGCATCTGGGAACCTCCTCCCCCAAATAACTACACACTCAGGTGATATATTCTACTTCCCCAAGGCCTGACCTCTCGGGACACACCCAGCCCTGTGGACCCAGATACCGTGGAGGTGCTGATGACCTTTGAACCTGACCCCGCTGATTTAGCTCTGTCAAGCATTCCCGGCCATGAGACCTTTGACCCTCGGAGACATCGCTTCTCAGAGGAGGAACTTAAGCCCCAGCCCATCATGAAGAAGGCGAGGAAGATCCAGGTGCCAGAGGAACAGAAGGTGAGCTCCACCAGATGTAGGACACAGGCTTGGCTAGTACAGCCCCCACAGCCAGGGTTCCTCACAGTCAGGCCTTGGTTCTTACTAGGATTAGCTCTAGGTTCTCCTACAGCCAAGGATCAGTCCTCCTTAGCCATGTGGTGCAAGGGGTCAAAGTTTTGGGCTTAAGATTTATGAAGATGGTATAATTATGGGACAGACTCAGCCAGCCCTGCTGGACCAGTTGTAGACTTGGAGCTTCTGTCATCCAAACCCAAACCCTTCAGTGGGGCAGGCAAGCTTCAGGCTCTGTCAGGCTCAGATGCTAAGGACAGCATTTTTTAGCAGTAGGGTATCAGTCTGTCTCTTAGCAGCCAGCCAGCCACGCTGGGGCTTGTCTTTTGATCTCTGATTTGAGGCATCCTTTGGGGTGATCACATCAGCCTAGGATGCAGACTTTGCCAGTCCTCTAGACCTTATTTCCTGGGTCTAAACTGCCTCATAGGCAAGAGGCCTCAGGTTCCGATTGGCAGCCAGGGCCATATTCTGATTTGGGTGCTTTGGGCAGTGACTGCATCTTTCTAGCACTTGGCCTCCCAATTCTGGGGTCTCCCCTAACAAGAGGTCCCTGGGCTTCTCTCAAAAGACTTTGCCATACCTTCATGCAAGACACAACTACTCAAAGCAGCTAGGACCGGCCTACAAGCCCAATCTAGATCAGTGATTTCTCCTGACAGAGGGCCCTGTTGCAAGGGACTGGATTTGCCCTAGCAAGCAGGAACTAGGCTTTAATTAAATGGGGGTCAAGAGGCATCTTTCAGAACTCTGGGTGCTCCTTGGTAAGAAGTGGTCCTCCTCCTCAACCCAATTCCAGGACTAGAAACCCTGGGCATAGTCGCGTGGGGAGGTCTCAAGATAGCTCCTTCACTAAAGGACAACTCTTCAAGCCACCAGGACCTGTTGGGTAGGGGGCAACTCCCTGGCCTCTATTCAAGGCCAGTAGGTCAGAAACCAGCTGCAGTCTTTGGGACCACTTAGACTTCACTTTTGTTTGATGAGGAGGGATGAAGTTGCCTTGGCAACCAGGTCCAAAGGGACTAGCTCTGAGATTTTATGGGACATCAAATCCCACCACTAGGGAGGCTAGACTTTCCTTAGCAACCAGGATCTGGAAAGGTAATGTATAGGGCAATGCTTTTCACTGGGATCTCTCATGCCCTGAAGGCCCTGTTGCTAGGGAACAAGCATCCTTGCAGCCAGGAGCAAACTGCAGGCCCTTTGTCAAGTGAGGAGGGTGGGGTCTGCTTTGCACACTGGAGATTTGAAGCCCAGTTGTTTGGGGTGGAGGCCTCTCATGCCTTAGCTGTTGCTAGGGGCCTGCTCTCCTTAGCAACCAGGGCCCTAGAAGGGCAGACTCTTGGGTACCTATCTCAGGGGAGACCCGGTATCCTTTACGCTCCACTGCTGGGCAAGGAGCCGTGAAGGTCCTTTAGATTCTCTCTGGTCCTTGAAGGAACAAGCAAAGCCACTCCTCCCTTCTCTCGCTGTGTCGGGGGAGCCCCTTGGGACCTCAGTGCTTTCCCACCTCCGCACCCCCAGGACGAGAAGTACTGGAGCCGGCGGTACAAGAATAACGAGGCAGCCAAGCGGTCCCGCGACGCCCGGCGGCTTAAGGAGAACCAGATATCGGTGCGGGCGGCCTTCCTGGAGAAGGAGAACGCTCTGCTGAGGCAGGAGGTGGTGGCCGTGCGCCAGGAGCTGTCCCACTACCGTGCTGTGCTGTCCCGCTACCAGGCCCAGCACGGAGCCCTGTGAGGCTGCCCCCACCCGGCGGAGCTCTACTCCGCCTCACTCAGACTTGCGCCCTGACACCCTCTTCCCTCCCCATCCTGTGGTCCACGGGCGGGCCAGCTGGGTGCCCCAGGGATGTGATGATGCAGATANCCTACAAGCCCAATCTAGATCAGTGATTTCTCCTGACAGAGGGCCCTGTTGCAAGGGACTGGATTTGCCCTAGCAAGCAGGAACTAGGCTTTAATTAAATGGGGGTCAAGAGGCATCTTTCAGAACTCTGGGTGCTCCTTGGTAAGAAGTGGTCCTCCTCCTCAACCCAATTCCAGGACTAGAAACCCTGGGCATAGTCGCGTGGGGAGGTCTCAAGATAGCTCCTTCACTAAAGGACAACTCTTCAAGCCACCAGGACCTGTTGGGTAGGGGGCAACTCCCTGGCCTCTATTCAAGGCCAGTAGGTCAGAAACCAGCTGCAGTCTTTGGGACCACTTAGACTTCACTTTTGTTTGATGAGGAGGGATGAAGTTGCCTTGGCAACCAGGTCCAAAGGGACTAGCTCTGAGATTTTATGGGACATCAAATCCCACCACTAGGGAGGCTAGACTTTCCTTAGCAACCAGGATCTGGAAAGGTAATGTATAGGGCAATGCTTTTCACTGGGATCTCTCATGCCCTGAAGGCCCTGTTGCTAGGGAACAAGCATCCTTGCAGCCAGGAGCAAACTGCAGGCCCTTTGTCAAGTGAGGAGGGTGGGGTCTGCTTTGCACACTGGAGATTTGAAGCCCAGTTGTTTGGGGTGGAGGCCTCTCATGCCTTAGCTGTTGCTAGGGGCCTGCTCTCCTTAGCAACCAGGGCCCTAGAAGGGCAGACTCTTGGGTACCTATCTCAGGGGAGACCCGGTATCCTTTACGCTCCACTGCTGGGCAAGGAGCCGTGAAGGTCCTTTAGATTCTCTCTGGTCCTTGAAGGAACAAGCAAAGCCACTCCTCCCTTCTCTCGCTGTGTCGGGGGAGCCCCTTGGGACCTCAGTGCTTTCCCACCTCCGCACCCCCAGGACGAGAAGTACTGGAGCCGGCGGTACAAGAATAACGAGGCAGCCAAGCGGTCCCGCGACGCCCGGCGGCTTAAGGAGAACCAGATATCGGTGCGGGCGGCCTTCCTGGAGAAGGAGAACGCTCTGCTGAGGCAGGAGGTGGTGGCCGTGCGCCAGGAGCTGTCCCACTACCGTGCTGTGCTGTCCCGCTACCAGGCCCAGCACGGAGCCCTGTGAGGCTGCCCCCACCCGGCGGAGCTCTACTCCGCCTCACTCAGACTTGCGCCCTGACACCCTCTTCCCTCCCCATCCTGTGGTCCACGGGCGGGCCAGCTGGGTGCCCCAGGGATGTGATGATGCAGATAAATACATTTATATTTTTAAGAAAAAGCGAGCCTCCCCCCTCCCTTGAGGGGGCGGGGAGGGTCCTCTGTGTGTGCCCACGGCACGTCAGGGACCCCACCCTCCCATCGCCTCCGTTAACACTATCCTGAATAAATCTTGATAACCTTAGAGCCAGCTGTCGTGGGGAGGAGGCAGCTCCCTGGCCCCAGTTCAAGGCCAGGGGGTCACACTGGCCGCAGTCTGTGGGCAGGTCTGGGCTCCAGGCCATGAAAGTCAGGAGCTCCTGGAAGTCTGATCCCTCCCACAGGCTGCCGGATAGAGGCAGTGGCGAGGGTCTAAGAGGAATGTAGTGACTGTCTTTATTGCATAGACCTTTTCAATTGCTTTGAAGATTGGGGTCTGGAGACACACAGGAGACAGAAAACGAGAAATGAACTTCCCCGCTGCAACTGAGGGGGCGGGGGAGGAACCTTAGTGCAAATGCTATCCTTGGCCCAGGGGAACCTGCCCCTCCTGGGCTGATTGGCCAGTTAAATGGAGGCACCGGAGTAGACAGGGCGAGACCCGGGCCCTGACTGGCCAGCCTGTACATTCCAGCCTGTATATTGGAGGATATAACAAGCTGACCTGGTCTTCAGTGAGCTGGGAGGGTCTGGACTGAACCCCTCCCTCACTGGTCAGGCACTACCCTCCCCGGGAGAGTCCACTTTCCTGTGACCCTGATGGCCCCCACCCCCTACCATTCAAGCCACCCTCTAGCATCACCTCAAGTCCCCTGGAGGCTGGCGCAGTCCTGAGACTGGGCTAGAGTCCCTGCACATGGGGCCTCCGCCCTAACTCTAGCAGCCAGGCCACACCCGGAGCTCAGGCTCTGCTCCCTTGGAATGTAGGCCCTGACAATAGCGGGTTCCAAGTTTTGTGAGGTTCAGGGCTCCCGCCCAGGGTGGCCTGGAGGCCCAGTGAGCAGTGTACCGAGGCCTGGATGCACCTGCGCCTGCAGGGGCCCGTACTCCACCTGCTCCCCATCCACCGTGAGCACTCCGCGGGGAGTGAGCGGCTCCAGGCGAAAGGCTTGAGCTGCGGCATAGCCCAGCTGCGGGCAGCCCAGGCTGAAGTGGCTACCATGCTCCATGGCCAGGAAAAGGCGCAGCAGTGCAGCTCGTGAGATGCCACCACGCACCCAGCACAGGTGCACCAGGCCATCATCAAAGCGTGCGTGGGGAACTGCCACGAGGTCAGCCCCCAGGTGGCTGGGTGAGATGGCCAACATGAGCACAAAGTCCCCCTCCAGTGTCACCCAGCCTGAGGGTAGCGGGGTTCCCAGAGGAGGGAGCAGGTGGTCTGGTGGACCTCCAGTAGAGATGACTACTGGGTCACCATCAGGGGTGGGAGGCAGAAGCCCAGAGGATGCTGGCATTTCTGGTGTCCCCTCGGTGGTGGGTGAGAGTAGAGCTGACTTGGGGGAGCCAGGAGGTGAGGGCAGCAGTGGGTCTGGGGACAGTGGAGCATCCCCAGCCCCACCCCAGTCCCTGGCCAGCTCTGGGCCCCCACCATTGAATGACAGGATGGGTAGTGGTTCAGGTGAGTCAGGGGAGGTCAGGGCAGGTTGAGGCAGTGGCAGGGGCAGGTCAGATACGGAGCGATGAAGTGGTGAGTGGGCCATGGGTGGAGGTGGGACAGGGGCCAGGGTCAACTCAGATTTGGCACGAGGCAGGCCATGGGCAGGGGTGGGTGAGGCAGGCTCCACGGTGGCAGGGAGGTAGGAGAGGCGTCCACGGTAGGTGTGCAAGGTGGCAAGGCCCAGCACCATGCCCAGTGTGAAGCGGGCACTGCCCAAGGCCCTGAAGCGCTCACTCTGGATGTCCACATCTGATATGAAGCCCCAGGCCACAGACAGGAAGGAGAAACAGCGGGAACCCGAGGCCAGGGTCACAGAAAGGAGGTCCAGCGGGCGGCAGCCACCCCGGCATAGCAGCAGTGAGCAATTGAGCAGCAGGTCAATGCCCAGGGCCTGCTCAAACCTTCAGAGCCAGAGATAGATTGACACAGAAAGAGGAAACAGAGTTGGGTGAGAAACAGTGTAGGGCAGGGAGGAGACAGACAGACAGCAAAAGGATCAGGCAGGCCATGTTCCCGGGGCCCACCCACAGCCATTTGGCCACCTCCAGATGGACTCTTCTTACTGAGCCTGGTTCCCTGCTGATCCATTCCACAAACATTCACTAAGTGTCACCTGTGTGCCAGGCACAGTTCTAGGCACTAGGGTTACAGCTGGGAACAAGACCAGCAAAAATGCCAGATTGATTAACCTGACAGTGGACTAGCAGAGGGAGGGGCAGATGTGCCAGGTCCCCATTATCACTCCTTCAGGGTACCCTCAGGCTCACTGGAGGCAGGAAAAGCCCACCTACCCCCCATGCTGGTTCACAGCTCCAGCCAATGCATTGCCTGAGCCACAGGGGAGGATGCCCACAGGAGTCTTCATAGCCTCTTCCCAGTCGGGGCGATCTAGGAGTCCATTCAGCACCTGGAAGGCCGGAGACCAGACACCTGGGTACTGTTCCTGGTCTCCACAGTCCCCCCAGGGCTCAGGGCTTGGGGCTCCTGCCCTACCTCGTACAGCAGCCCATCTCCTGAGACTGTGATGATGCCATCCCACTCGCTCAGGCTCAGTCCCTGGACCAGCTCCCGAGCGTGGTTCTGTCGTTCTAATGTGGGGAACCAGGTGGTGAGGCAGGCTACTCCCCTCCCACCCCACCCCTCCACTCCCCAGGACTCAGTTCGGCCCCAAGCCTGCACCTTCTATCCTGATGCCGCCCTTACCTGTCTGGATGAGGTTGAAGGACAGCCCAGCTTCGGAGATCATGGGCAGCACGTGGTTCTTACACAACTGCCAAGCCAAGCCCCGCCCACCAAAGGGATTGACCAATAGCAGCAATCGGGGTGGCCTTGGCAGAAGATTGGCGGTGATTTCTGCAAAGAGAGGAGAAGGAGTCTATAGAGACAAGAGACCCAGGCCCCTGACCTGAGAAACAGTAACTGCAAACAGCCCCCAATGGAACTGGTGGAGGACTGGCACCAGAGCATCAAGTTTTTTTCTCTCCCAGGCTTCACTTGCCCAGGTCAGCCCCTTCTGAGACAAAGGCAGGGCTTAGGTGTCTAATCCCAGTGCCCTTTGGACCCACGTGTGGGAGGAAGAAGAGCTGGGTTTCCACGTTCCTCACCAAGAACACCTAGATCCCAGATCAGGTTGCTTCACTCTGTGAGGCTCCATTACTGTCACCATCCCTTAGGGCCATCCCCCAGGCAGCCAGCAGGATCCTGGAGGACCAAGGAAGTCCCACCAGATGGGGACCCTTGAATTTTTACCTTCCTTTGCCAACTGGGAACCCTGGGTGGGGGCTCTGCCTGAAAGCCTTTTCTGGACCCCCACAGGCTAATATTCTAGATGCCACCTCTGAGCGCCCTGGGTGGTGATTGATCATGTCTCAGTTGGTTGCTCTCATCAGCCCAGGAGCCTCTGACTCATCTGTGGTCAGGACCCATGGAAGGGGGGAGGGAACAGAGACAAAAATCTAGCGAGAGAGCAGCAGACACAAATAATTGTTCTCAGCCTGTGGTTTTGCTCCTTCTGTAGCCTATCTCTGCCTGGTAACACTCTTTCAATACAGACCCAGAGAGACATCACACAGACACAGAAAAGTAAACAGAGATGCCCACAGAGGGTGATCCGCAGGGACATCGAGGTTGCCCAGGACCTCACCCCCATTCCCAGGCAGTGGCAGTCCACGGAGCAGACACGTGAGGACAGTGGCCCAGCGCTGGGCCTCAGCCCGGTTCTCCTCGTAGGTGGCTGCCCCATCAGCCCCAAAGGTGCGTGTGGCTCTGCGTCGGCCCCCTCGCCGGCCCCGCTGATAAGTGTAGATACAGAAGTAGGCCACTGAGTCAGAGGGACTGCGGCTCCGCAGGGTACAACAGCCTGAGACCTCAGCCAGCAGGACCAGGCCGCCCCGGGGCCTGGCTTCAGGCTTTGGGCGCAGCCGTTGTATGTGCAGGGCCTGTGGTGTGAGAGTGAGGGCAAAGCGTGGGCCTCGGGTTGGGTAGGAGCCAAACTCGCCATGCAGGAGTGGAGTGCTGGTGGCCAATGGTGGTGGTGGCGGTGGGGCCATGGCCCCAGCCCTGTCCAGGGCAGTCCTAGGCCTGTGCCCCCAGCTCCAGCTCAGCTCCTGGTCTGGCCTCTGTGGGAAGGAAGGGAAGGAGTCAGAGTTGAGGACCCCCATGTCAGATGGATGGAAACAGGGGCAGGGCCTCTGGACGGGGAGAGACAATGAGGGGCAGTCACAGGTGCACCAGAGACAAACAGGCCCAGATGACAAGTGTGGGGTGACCCTGAGGATGCAGGGAAGAAATCAGTTGGATAGGAAGGCTAGCATCCTGGAGGGTCCACACCCAGGCATGCAAACATTCATTCATTCATTCCCTAAATAATTATTCAGTACCCTCCACGTGCCAATCACAATGCTAGGCCTAGCAAACACAGCAGGGAACAAAATGGACAAAAATCCCTGCCTTCATGGAGTTTTTATTTTAATCAGAAAACAGAAAAACAATGCCTGGCCGGGCGTGGCTCAGCGGTTGAGTGTCGACCTAGGATCTAGGCGATCGGGGTTTGATTCACCGTCAGGGCACATGCCTGGGGTGTGGGCTCGATCCCCAGTTGGGGGCATGCAGGAGGCAGCCGATCAATGATTCTCTCATCATTGATGTTTCTCTCTCCCTCTCTCCCTCTCTCCCTCTCTGTGAAATCAAGAAAGATATATTAAAAAAAAAAAAAAAAAAAAAAA